ATATATATATATAAGCAAGAAGGAGCACTGAAGCGGGCCTACTGGCCCATGCTAGGCAAGTCCAACGGTGTCACACCCACTCATGTACTTGTCTAATGTATTTTTAAAGCTACTGACATATAATACTCACACACACACACACACACACACAACACACACACACACACACACACACACACACACACACACACACACACACACACTTGCTGAGGTGGCAAGAAGAGCTCATTCCAGCAGAGCAAAGTTGCTGGTTATGGGGGATTTCAACCACAGGGAGATCGACTGGGAAAACCTGGAGCCACATGGGGGTCCCGAAACATGGAGAGCCAGGATGCTGGACGTGGTGCTGGAAAACCTCATGCACCAACATGTTAAAGACACTACCAGAGTGAGAGGGGAGGATGAACCAGCAAGATTGGACCTTGTGTTCACCCTGGGCAGCTCAGACATTGAGGACATCAAGTATGACTATAAAAGAGGGGACTGCATAGGGTTGAAGAACTTCCTGCGGGAGGTCCAGTGGGGCAGAGAACTGGCAGGAAAGCCAGTAAATGAAATGATGGAATATGTATCAACAAAATGCAAGGAGACAGTGGAAAAGTTTATTCCCAAGGGCAACAGTAACAACGGGAAGACCAGCACGAGCCCCTGGTTTACCCGACGGTGTAAGGAGGCAAAAACAAAGTGCAATAGAGAATGGAAAAAGTACAGAAGGCAGAGAACACACGAAAATAGGGAGATCAGTCGCAGAGTCAGGAATGAGTATGCACAGGTAAGGAGGGAGGCCAGCGACAGTATGAAATGACATAGCATCGAGAATCAAGACTGACCCGAAACTGTTGTATAGCCACATCAGGAGGAAGACAACAGTCAAAGACCAGGTGATCAGATTAAGGACAGAAGGTGGAGAACTCACAAGAAATGATCAGGAGGTATGTGAGGAGCTGAACAGAGATTTAAGGAAGTTTTTACAGTAGAGACAGGAAGGGCTGTGGGAAAAACAGAACAGAGAACATCAAAGGGAATATACCAACAAGTGTTGGATGACATACGAACAACTGAGGAGGAGGTGAAGAAGCTCTTAAGTGACCTTGACACCTCAAAGGCGATGGGACCGGACAACATCTCCTCCAGGGGTTTCCTTAGAGAAGGGCAGAGATGCTGTGCGTGCCTCTAACCACAATCTTCAACACATCCCTTGAAACGGGGCAACTACCTGAGAAAGGAAGACAGCTAATGTATCCCCATTTTTAAAGAAAGGAAACAGAAACGAGGCACTAATACAGACCTGTGTCTCTGACATGTATTGTGTGCAAAGTCATGGAGAAGATTATCAGGAGGAGAGTGGTCGAAACACCTGGAAAGGAACAAGATTATAAATGAAAACCAGCATGGGTTCATGGAAGGCAAATCCTGTATCACAAACCTCCTGGAGTTTTATGACAAGGTAACAGAAGTAAGACACGAGAGAGAGGGGTGGGTAGATTGCGTTTTCCTAGACTGCAGGAAGGCCTTTGACACAGTTCCCCACAAGAGATTAGTGCAGAAGCTGGAGGATCAGGCGCATGTAAAAGGGAGGGCACTGCAATGGATAAGGGAATATCTGACAGGGAGGCAGCAACGAGTCATGGTACGTGAAGAGGAATCACAGTGGGCGCCTGTTACAAGCGGGGCCCCACAGGGGTCAGTTCTAGGACCAGTGCTATTTTTGATATGTGTGAACGACATGATGGAAGGAATAGACTCTGAAGTGTCCCTGTTCGCAGATGACGTGAAGTTGATGAGAAGAATTAAATCGGACGAGGATGAGGCAGGACTGCAAAGAGACCTGGACAGGCTGGACATGTGGTCCAGTAACTGGCTTCTCGAATTCAATCCAGCCAAATGCAAAGTCATGAAGATTGGGGAGGGGCAAAGAAGACCGCAGACAGAGTATAGGCTAGGTGGACAAAGACTACAGACCTCACTCAGGGAGAAAGACCTTGGGGTGACCATAACACCGAGCACATCACCGGAGGCACACATCAACCAAATAACTGCTGCAGCATACGGGCGCCTGGCAATCCTGAGAATAGCGTTCCGATACCTTAATAAGGAATCGTTCAACACACTGTACACTGTGTATGTTAGGCCCATACTGGAGTATGCAGCACCAGTCTGGAACCCACACCTGGTCAAGCACGTCAAGAAGCTAGAGAAAGTACAAAGGTTTGCAACAAGGCTAGTCCCAGAGCTCAAGGGAATGTCGTACGAGGAAAGGTTAAGGGAAATCGGACTGACGACACTGGAGGACAGAAGGGTCAGGGGAGACATGATAACGACATACAAGATACTGCGGGGAATAGACAATGTGGACAGAGATAGGATGTTCCAGAGAGGGGACACAGGGACAAGGGGTCACAACTGGAAGCTGAAGACTCAGACGAGTCACAGGGACGTTAGGAAGTATTTCTTCAGTCATAGAGTTGTCAGCAAGTGGAATAGCCTAGCAAGTGAAGTAGTGTAGGCAGGAACCATACATAGTTTTAAGAAGAGGTATGACAAAGCTCAGGAAGCAGAGAGAGAGAGGACCCAGTAGCGATCAGTGAAGAGGCGGGGCCAGGAGCTGAGTCTCGACCCCTGCAACCACAATTAGGTGAGTACAATTAGGTGAGTACAAACACACACACACACACACACACCATGTCAGCTGAGTTTTAATTATATAGTAGAGTTACAAGTGGAGAAGGTAACAGGAATTGAATGGGAAAAGCCATACTATAAAAGGGGGGACTACACAGGTATGAGGAACTTCCTGCAGGAGGTTCAATGGGACAGAGAAATGGTAGGAAAATCAGTAAACGAGATGATGGAATATGTGGCAACAAGGTGCAAGGAGGCAGAGGAAAGGTTTGTTCCCAAGGGAAATAGAAATAATAGGAAGACCAAAGCGAGTCCTTGGTTTACCCGAAGGTGTAGGGAGGCAAAAACTAAGTGCAACAAAGAATGGAAAAGGTACAGGAGGCAAAGGACCCAGAAAATAAAGAGATTAGTAGAAGAGCCAGAAACGAGTATGCACAGATAAGGAGGGAGGCCCAGCGACAGTACGAGAACGACATAGCATCGAAAGTTAAGTCTGACCAGTAACTGCTCTATAGCCACATTAGGAGGAAGACAACAGTCAAGACCAGGCGATAAGGCTGAGGAAAGAAGGTGGAGAACTCACAAGAAACGATGAAGAGGTATGTGAGGAGCTCAACATGAGATTTAAGGAAATATTTACAGTGGAGACAGGAAGGCCTCTGGGGGGACAGACCAGATGGGGACACCAGCAAGGAATATATCAACAAGTGTTGGATGACATAAATACAAATGAGGAGGAGGTGAAGAAGCTGCTAAGGGATATCGATACCTCAAAGGCAATGGGACCGGACAACATCTCCCCGTGGGTCCTAAGAGAGGGAGCGGATACGTTGTGCGTGCCACTTACCACAATCTTCAACACTTCCCTGGAAACTGGGCAACTACCTGAGGTATGGAAGACGGTAAATGTAGTTCCTATTTTTAAAAAAGGAGACAGAAAAGAGGCATTAAACTATAGACTTGTGTCACTGACGTCTATAGTATGCAAAGTTATGGAGATTATCAGGAGGAGAGTGGTGGAGAGCCTGGAACGGAACAAGAGTATAAACGCCAACCAGCACGGATTCATGGAAGGCAAATCCTGTGTCACAAACCTTCTGGAGTTTTATGATAAAGTAACAGAAGTAAGACACGAGAGAGAGGGGTGGGTTGATTGCATCTTCTTGAACTGCAAGAAGGCCTTTGACAGTTCCTCACAAGAGATTAGTGCAGAAGCTAGAGGATCAGGCGCATATAACAGGAAGGGCACTGCAATAGATCAGAGAATACCTGACAGGGAGGCAACAACGAGTCATGGTACGTAATGAGGTATCACAATGGGCACCTGTGACGAGCGGGTTCCCACAGGGGTCGGTCCTAGGACCAGTGCTATTTTTGGTATATGTGAACGACATGATGGAAGGGTTAGACTCAGAAGTGTCCCTGTTCGCAGATGATGTGAAGTTAATGAGGAGAATTAAATCAGATGAGGATCAGGCAGGACTTCAAAGAAACCTGGATAGACTGGACACCTGGTCCAGCAACTGGCTTCTCGAATTTAACCCCGCCAAATGCAAAGTCATGAAGATAGGAGAAGGGTACAGAAGACCGCAGACGGAGTATAGGCTAGGTTGCCAAAGACTGCAAACCTCGCTTGAGGAGAAAGATCTTGGGGTGAGTATAACACCGAGCATGTCTCCGGAAGCACACATCAACCAGATAACTGCTGCAGCATATGGGCGCCTGGCAAACCTGAGAACAGCATTCCGATACCTTAGTAAGGAATCGTTCAAGACACTGTACACCGTGTATGTCAGGCCCATACTGGAGTATGCAGCACCTGTTTGGAACCCGCACTTGATAAAGCACGTCAAGAAACTAGAGAAAGTGCAAAGATTTGCGACAAGGTTAGTTCCAGACCTAAGGGGAATGTCCTATGAAGAAAGGTTAAGGGAAATCGGCCTGACGACACTGGAGGACAGGAGGGTCAGGGGAGACATGATAACGACATATAAAATACTGCGCGGAATAGACAAGGTGGACAAAGACAGGATGTTCCAGGGAGGGGACACAGAAACAAGGGGTCACAATTGGAAGTTGAATACTCAGATGAATCAATGGGATGTTAGGAAGTATTTCTTTAGTCATAGAGTTGTTAGGCCGTGGAATAGCCTAGAAAGTGACGTAGTGGAGGCGGGAACCATACGCAGTTTTAAGACGAGGTTTGATAAAGCTCATGGAGCAGGGAGAGAGAGGACCCAGTAGCAACCGGTGAAGAGGCGGGGCCAGGAGCTAAGAATCGACCACTGCAACCACAAATAGGTGAGTACACACACACACACACACACATACACACACACACACACACAAACACACAGGCCAAGTGTCTAATCGACATGTGCCTAGGACAAAATGGTGACTAACACCAACACACATACACACACATACACACACACACACGTTAGGAAGTATTTCTTCAGCCACAAAATAGTCAGGAAGTGGAATAGTTTGGGAAGCAATGTAGTGGAGGCAGGATCCATACATAGCTTTAAGCAGAGGTATGATAAAGCTCACGGTTCAGGGAGAGTGACCTAGTAGCGGCCAGTGAAGAGGCGGGGCCAGGAGCTCGGACTCGACCCCTGCAACCTCAACTAGGTGAGTACAACTAGGTGAGTACACACACACACACACACACACACACACACACACACACACACACACACACACACACACACACACACACACACACACACACACACACACACGCACGCACACACACACACACACACACACACACACACACACACACACACACACACATACACAAACACATACACACAGTGAGGAATAAAAACAATCGGTGAGTATAAGTTGGTAGCGTGTCTATCTGCAGTTAGTGGACGGAGGATTGAGCCTGCACCACTCCTTGAGCTGAATGGCCCACATTGGTTAAATGCTTCACGCAAATAATTGAAATGGAATTATCTCACCAGGGAAAGACACTGTTTATTGCTGGCACTTATAAAAGTAATCACATGACTGCATTATTGCTGGCACTTATAAAAGTAATCACATGACTGCATTATTGCTGGCACTTATAAAAGTAATCTCATGACTGCATTATTGCTGGCACTTATAAAAGTAATCACATGACTGCATTATTGCTGGCACTTATAAAAGTAATCTCATGACTGCATTAATGCTGGCACTTATAAAAGTAATCACATGACTGCATTATTGCTGGCACTTATAAAAGTAATCTCATGACTGCATTATTGCTGGCACTTATAAAAGTAATCACATGACTGCATTATTGCTGGCACTTATAAAAGTAATCACATTACTGCATTATTGCTGGCACTTATAAAAGTAATCACATGACTGCATTATTGCTGGCACTTATAAAAGTAATCTCATGACTGCAGTATTCCTTGCACTTATAAAAGTAATCACATGACTGCAGTATTCCTTGCACTTATAAAAGTAATCACATGACTGCAGTATTCCTGGCACTTATAAAAGTAATCACATGACTGCAGTATTCCTTGCACTTATAAAAGTAATCACATGACTGCAGTATTCCTTGCACTTATAAAAGTAATCACATGACTGCAGTATTCCTTGCACTTATAAAAGTAATCACCTGACTGCAGTATTGCTGGTACTTACAAAAGTAATCACATGACAGCAGTATTCCTTGCACTTATAAAAGTAATCACCTGACTGCAGTATTCCTTGCACTTATAAAAGTAATCACATGACTGCAGTATTGCTGGTACTTACAAAAGTAATCACCTGACAGCAGTATTGCTGGTACTTACAAAAGTAATCACCTGACAGCAGTATTGCTGGTACTTACAAAAGTAATCACCTGACAGCAGTATTGCTGGTACTTACAAAAGTAATCACATGACAGCAGTATTCAGTGTCGCTACAGATTTTACTCTTCAGGGAAATTCCCCTTGACGCTGGAGAAGGACTCTAAGATAACTGTACTTCTGTGTACCTCTGCCTAAGTAAACTTACTTGTTCAAGTTCACTTACAAGATACTGTGCTATGCTATAAGAGAGGAACTGCACCGTTGCAGTTGGGGTATTTGTTGATGTTTGTGAGTCCCTGGGAGTTGTTGCATGTCCTTGGGAATGTTGGTTGTAGCAGTCACTCAGAGTTGGTCTAGGTCCATCACGGTCTACGGTCCCTCAATAAAATCTTTTCACTGGCTGCAATATCTTGGCCCCCAAAACTGCATACATATTCAACACCTTGCCCGCCTGGGTCGTGGCACTGTGGCCTGCCTCTCTCTCACTGCCTGTCACTGCCTCTCACTGCCTTTGACACTGTCTCGGCTCTGACCAACACTTCTTATCTCTTTCTTTCCCTGTTTCTCCTTCTGCTTCTTTTATTTTCTTCCTTCTTTTCATCTTCGAGATCTCGTGAAAGAAGGAAATCGCTTCACTTGGCTCAGTATTTCAATGATTATCTTTTCCATCAAACTAAGTAATTAAATACCCTTTGCTTGTCTTCCTTTGGTCTCTTATCATCTCCCCTCTCTCATCTCTCCCTTGCTATTTCCTATTCCTCTCTCATTTCCATATTCTTGCCGTCTTTCCCATTATTTCCATCACTGCTCATGTATAGTATACATACATCCACACATACACACATATACACACATACACTTACACATACACATTCCTAGCGAGCGGGCCCAGGAGCTATGAATCAACCCCTGCAACCTCAACTAGGTGAGTACACACACCTGCATGATATTCTTACCTATCATGCAGGAAATGTATCATACTGTGTACTACCTATCATGCAGGAGATAGTATACTGTGTACTACCTATCATGCACGACGTAGTATCATACTGTGTACTACCTATCATGCAGGAGATAGTATCATATTGGGTAATTCATATCATGCAGGAAATAGGCTTCTTTAGAGTCCTATCATGCAGAAGGTAGAGTCATACTGGGTTCTATTTGTCATACAGGAAGAAGGTCGCAACTGAATCCTAGGTAACACACAGAAGATTCAAGGATCATCATGCAGTAGGAACAAGGATCCTAATGGGTCATGCCTATCATGCAGGAGGTTCCTACTGAATCTTCCGTATCATACAGGAGGTACAAGCATCGTACTGGCTCTTACCTATCATGCAGGAAATACAAGCATCCTATTGGCTCCTATTTATCATGTTGGTAGTACAAGCATCCTCCTGGTTCCTACCTATCATGCTGGGGGTACAAGCATCCTCCTGGCTCCTACCCATCATGCTGGAAGTACAAGCATCCTCCTGGTTCCTACCTATCATGCTGGGGGTACAAGCATCCTCCTGGCTCCTACCTATCATGCTGGGGGTACAAACATTCTCCTGGTTCCTACCGATCATGCTGGAAGTACAAGCATCCTCCTGGTTCCTACCTATCATGCTGGGGGTACAAGCTTCCTCCTGGCTCCTACCTATCATGCTGGAGGTAGGACTCTCTCTGGGGTCGTGGAAGTCAGAACTGAGGTCGTAGAGTCGTGAAGGATTTAAACTGGAGTAGGATGATGGTGCCTGAATCACTTCCTCTTGCTGCTGCTGCTGTGCCTGCTGTGACTGCTGTGCCTGCTGTGCCTGCTGTGGCTGCTGTGCCTGCTGTGGTTGCTGGTAGATGTAAACATCGTAGGGGGACTGGTAGTGTGGTGTCGCGGTGGTGGTAGTTGTGGTTGCTGTGGTGGGTACTTGCTTGTGAAGATGGTGGTGGTGGGGGTGGTGGTTATGGTGGGGGCAGGTGGGCTGGTAGAGTGGGGGATCCCCACTATGGGAGTAATCATAGGTGCGGGAGTAGTCACTGTGGTGGGAGGACAGAGAAGTCTGGTCTCCTAGAGAAGCGGTATTTACCTCGTGCTGGAGGCGCTGGAGACCGCACGGAAGTACATCGTAAGTACTGGAGCTGAGAGAAGTGTCCTCCTCCTCGCCAGTGGCTTCCTGACGAAGCTCCTCCACCTTCTCCTGAAGGGCAGGAGACTTTTCCTCAACTCCAGCTCCTGGGGCGTCCTCCCCAGGGGCAAGTCTCCCTGTGTTCTGGGGACTAAGGGCGCTGCTGACGTAAAGTGTGGTCGTATCTCGACTTACGACAACCATGCCGTTCTGGCGAGGCGTTGGATGGGTGGGTGGACGTATAGGAGTGGGTGTGGTGTGGGCGGCTGAATGTGCAGGAATAGACATGGGCGTGGGATGAGCGGCAGCGTTCGGAATCACCAGACTTGGTGGATCACAGCGATCCACGTGATCCACGTGATCCACGTTGGTTTGATGATCCACCTTCATCAAAACAAGGAAATCATTATTATTATTGTATCTAATTTTATAATACTAATAATAATACTATCATTATTATTACAAATAATAATAATAATAATTATAATAATAAAAATAATAATAATTATCATAATAATAATAATAATAATAATAATAATAATAATAATATAATAATAATAATAATTATTATTATTATTATTATTATTATTATTATTATTATTATTATTATATTATTATTATTATTATTATATAAAATAATATATTAACAGAAGTATAACAAATGAAATAATAATAACAGGAAGAGCAGTACAACACGAACACGTTTTGCTCAAGTTACTGAGCGAAACTAAGTTCTCTTGGTTACCCAGAACTTTTTCCCTTTTCTCCTGGCTAGCAAAGCAGTACCTAGTATCACGGTACCTAGCAATACTGTACCTAGTATTACAGTACCTAGTATCATAATATCTAGTATCACAGTACCCAGCATCACAGTACCTAGTATCACAGTACCCAGCATCACAGTACCTAGTATCACAGTACCCAGCATCACAGTACCTAGTATCACAATACCTAGTATCACAGTACCCAGCATCACAGTACCTAGTAGAACAGTACATACCATCACATTACTTAACAACACAGTACCTAGCAACACAGTACCTAACAAAATAGTACCTAACAAAGCAGTACCTACCAACACAGTACCTAACAACACAGTACCTAACAAAACCGTACCTAACAAAACAGTACCTAATAAAACAGTACCTAACGAAACAGTGCCTAACAAAACAGTACCTAACAAAACAGTACCTAACAAAACAGTGCCTAACAAAACTATTTAACATGGTACCTAAGAAAACCTAAAGGAGAAAAAGAAGTGGGTGAAAAATGAAGAGGACAAGAGAGAGAGAGAGAGAGGAGAGAGAGAGAGAGAGAGAGAGAGAGAGAGAGAGAGAGAGAGAGAGAGAGAGAGGAGAGAGAGAGAGAGAGAGAGAGAGAGAGAGGGAGAGAGAGAATTACCTGATATGGTGGAGGGGTGTTGGAGGGGTGGTGGGGAGACATGGATGTGAGGGAGAGGAGAGGATCAGTGTGGGTCGCCCCGGGTGTGGATGCTGGAGTCAGCCCGTACACGTCCAGTGTCACGTTCTTTGTCGATGATGATGCTGAAGCAGAGAGATCATCATTATCATCATCATTATTGTTATTATTAATTATAATTATTATTATTATTATTATTATTATTATTATTATTATTATCATTATTATTATTATTAGTAGTAGTAGTAGTAGTAGTATTACTATTATGATTATGATTATTATTATTATTATTATTATTATTATTATTATTATTATTATTATTATTATTATTATTATTATTATTATTATTATTATTATTAAAATATTATTATTATTTAAAATGTCAATATTATTAATATTACTTAAAATATCAGTATTATTAATATTAATATTATTAGATTTACACCCAACAGTAACTATCCCTTTACTCATCAATGCATTCACTCAACCTACTCATCAGTGCATTCACTCAACCTATTCATCAATGCATTCACTCAACCTACTCATCAATGCATTCACTCAACCTACTCATCAATGCATTCACTCAACCTACTCATCAATGCATTCACTCAACCTATTCATCAATGCATTCACTCAACCTACTCATCAATGCATTCACTCAACCTACTCATCAATGCATTCACTCAACCTACTCATCAATGCATTCACTCAACCTACTCATCAATGCATTCACTCAACCTACTCATCAATGCATTCACTCAACCTACTCATCAATGCATTCACTCAACCTACTCATCAATGCATTCACTCAACCTACTCATCAATGCATTCACTCAACCTACTCATCAATGCATTCACTCAACCTACTCATCAATGCATTCACTCAACCTACTCATCAATGCATTCACTCAACCTACTCATCAATGCATTCACTCAACCTACTCATCAATGCATTCACTCAACCTACTCATCAATGCATTCACTCAACCTACTCATCAATGCATTCACTCAACCTACTCATCAATGCATTCACTCAACCTACTCATCAATGCATTCACTCAACCTACTCATCAATGCATTCACTCAGCCTACTCATCAATGCATTCACTCAACCTACTCATCAATGCATTCACTCAACCTACTCATCAATGCATTCACTCAACCTACTCATCAATGCATTCACTCAACCTACTCATCAATGCATTCACTCAACCTACTCTTCAATGCATTCACTCAACCTACTCATCAATGCATTCACTCAACCTATTCTTCAATGCATTCACTCAACCTACTTATCCAGCCCACCCAACCCACTCAACTCACCTGAAGCATTGCGTGTGGCAGCTCTGCGTCTTATAAAGCAGCCAATAAGAGCAACGTGTAGAGCTAGTAGAGCCGCCCCGGTTAACGTCACAATAAGCATTGTTAACCGAGGCATTCGTTGAACACCGCCCTCCACCACGCTGCGTGATCCCCCTGCTGTCACCCCAGGCCAGGCACTAGGCTCCCCTGACACACCTGGGGAGAGAGACAGGTGGGGAGGATGAGAGGTGGATAAAATGAGAGGTGGATAGAATGAGAGGTGGAGAGAATGAGAGGTGGATAGAATGAGAGGTGGACAGAATGAGAGGTGGATAGAATGAGAGGTGGACAGAATGAGAGGTGGATAGAATGAGAGGTGGACAGAATGAGAGGCGGACAGAATGAGAGGTGGATAGAATGAGAGGTGGATAAAATGAGAGGTGGATAGAATGAGAGGTGGACAGAATGAGAGGTGGATAGAATGAGAGGTGGACAGAATGAGAGGTGGACAGAATGAGAGGTGGATAGAATGAGAGGTGGATAGAATGAGAGGTGGATAGAATGAGAGGTGGACAGAATGAGAGGTGGATAGAATGAGAGGTGGATAGAATGAGAGGTGGACAGAATGAGATGTGGACAGAATGAGATGTGAATAGAATGAGAGGTGGACAGAATGAGAGGCGGACAGAATGAGAGGTGGACGGAATGAGAGGTGGACAGAATGAGAGGTGGACAGAATGAGAGGTGGACAGAATGACAGGAGGGGAATACGAAGAGTGACCAAACTCAACATTACACATTCACCACATATGAGAGAAACATCGCGACTACGTGTCGCCCTTCTCCATAATCGCTGAAATTTTCACAACTAGACCACTTAAAATCCTTTCAGTGGTAAGTGATTCAGGACCCCTTGAGGGTCCGGGGGCCCCTTAACTTAAGGGCCCTCCTGAAGCAGCTGAAATGAGACCTTCTGAATTTACGAAGTCCTAAAGAGGAGCTACAAGAAGGCCCTTACCTAAAGGAGTTACAGGAGGGCCCCTTGCGAAGGCCCCCAAAACATACCGTTGGTAGTGGCAGTGACATGGGGAGTGACGTAGGAGGAGGGCCCCTGAGGGTTCCTGGCCTGCACGGTAAACAGATACTGTGTGTCAGGTGACAGGTGGCTCACGGTAGCTCCCCTGGTCTCACCACCTGCCACCTCCACCACCTGCGGGGAGAAATTACATAGGTGAGGTGGTCACTTTAGCATAAGTAAATCTTTAAATATTTTCTACCAAAACGAAAATAATACAGAATTATTTTTTTAATTTTATTATTTTATTATTTATTATTATTATTTTATTATTATAGTAGTAGTAGTAGTAGTAGTGTAGTGTATAGTTGCAAAAGGACAATTGTACTAACAGCTCAGCGCCGGGGTACTCACCTGGTATTCCAGGGAGCTGCAGCACGGTACCTCAGGCATACCCACGGGTACCCCCTTTCGTAGTTGGGCCCACCCAGGATACCGTGCCCGAAGTCCGTTGTTACCTGTATACAACGTTAGATACTACAAATTTCCCCTTATGTCGGCTACACGCACCACACACACATGCAAAACCCCCACACACACACACAACACACACACACATACCACACACACACACACACAACAATCACACACACACGCAACCACCAAAACCCACTACGCACAACACACACACACACAACCACACCACACACACCACACCCCAATACACAACCGCACACACACACACACACATAACAACCACAACCACACACACACCCAAAACCCCACACATACACACACATACACACACACACAAAACAACACATACACACACACAACACACACACACACACATATCCCAAAACCCCACACACCCACACACACACATACACACACATACCACCACAACATACACACCACCCACCAAAACACACACACAACACACACAGTTTGCACAGTTAAACAAAGAGATTGGTGCAAAAACTGGAGGCCCAAGCAGGGTAACGGGGAAAGGCCTAAATGGATCAGGGAATATTGTCGGGAGACGACGAGTCATGGACGGGGCGAGGGGTCAAGGGGGCACCGTGACCAGGGGGGGCCCCGCGGGGGTCAGTCCAAACCAGTGTGTTTTGAATTTTGAACGAATGAGGGAAAGGAAAGACTTGGGGTGTCCCTGTTTGCAGAACGTGAATTTGTGAGAAAAATTACCCGATCGAAACCGGGCAGAACTACAAAGGGATCTGGACAGGTGAAACCCTGGCCCACAATTGGCTCCTGGATTTCAATCCACCAAGTCAAATTGAAGATTGGGGGGGGCAAAAAAGCCGCAGACGGAGTACGTTGGGGGTCAGGGGACTAAAAAACCCTCATAAAGGAAAAAGGATCTTGGGGGAGTATAAACCCCGGGCACATCTTGAAGCGCACACAACCAAATAACTGCTGCAGCATAGGGGCGCCTAAAAAACCTCAAACAGCATTCCGACATCTAAATAAGGAATCGTTCAGGACCCTGTCACCGATACGTTAGGGCCCCCATTGGATACGGCACCTTTTTTGGGAAACCCCCCCAGCCAAGACGTAAAGAAACTAAGGGAAAATGCAAAGGTTTTCAACAAAACAGTCCAGAGCTAAGGGTATGTTACGAGGAGAGGTTTAAGGGAAATCAAACCCACGACACTGGGGGACAGGAGAGATAGGGGGGAATATAAGACATCAAAATACTGAGGGGAATTGAAAGGGGGACAAAGACAGGGATGTTCCAGAGATGGGCACGTAACAAAGGGGCCAGTTTGGAAACTAAAGACCTAATCACGGGGTGTTAGGGAAATATTTTTTCAGCCCGAGTGTCGAAGTGGAAAGTTTGGGGGAACGATGTAGTGGGGCGGATCCATACTAGCTTAAGCAAGGGATGATAAAGCCCGGCTCGGGGGGAGTGACCAGTACGATAGGAAGAGGCGGGGCCAGGAGCTCGGACTCGACCCCCGCAACCCCAACTAGGTAAACTAGGTGAGTACCACACACACACATACAACACACCATACACACACACAACCCCCCATCAAAACACCAACACACACCCACATACACCAACCACAACATACACACACACACACATACACACACCACACATACACACCACACACACACATCACACCACACACAAAACCACACAACAATACCACACAACAACAACACCACACACACACACACACACACACCCACATACACCAAACACACACAAAAACACACACACACATACACACACACAACATAACACAAACACACACACACACCAAAATACACACAACGCACAACAACACACACACACACAACCCACACACACACACACACACTACAACACACACACACCACCACACCCCAAACCCCCCCCACACACACACCACACCCACATCACACACAACAAACACACACAACAATACCCCAACACTACACACACATACAACACACAACCCAATACACACCACACCCCTACACACTACAAACACACACACACATACACCACACACACTACACACAAAACAACCCACACATACACACACCATACACACACACACACTACACACACACAAAAAACACCTACACACCACACACATACACACACACATACAAAAACAACACACACAACACATACACACCACAACCTACAACATACACCAACAACACATACACACACACACCATACAACACACACAATACACACACACAAACAACACACACACACACATACACACCACACACATACACACACAAACACACACACACACACACACACACAACCACATACACCACACAACACACACACACACACCACACACCCCACACACCCCAACATAACACCAAAAACATACAAACACACACCACCACACACACAACCTAACAAAACCTACACACACACATACCACACCAACAATACACACACACACATACAAACAAAACACAAACACATTTCAGTGAGTTAAACCCCCCAGAACTGCAGGAGGCCCAAAGGGGGAATATGAAGAGAGCAACAGAGCAAGGTGGACACACTTTTGGGGTGGCAAGAAGACTCACCCAAGGCAAAGTTGTGGTTATGGGGGGTTTAACCAGGGGGATTTACGGGAAAACCCGGGGCCACATGGGGGGCCCCAAACATGGAGGGCCCGGGTGTTTGGGCGTGGTCTGGAAAACCTCATGCACCAAATGTTAAGGGGGCACTACCAGAGTGGAGGGGAGGATAACCAGCAAAATTGGACCCTTTTTTCACCCGGGGCAGCTCAGACATGAGGTATCAAGTATGGGTCCCCAGGGGCTAGCGACCACGTGGTTCTGTGCTTTGAATAATAGTAGAGCTGCAAGTGGGGGAATAACAAGGGGAAATGGGAAAAGCCACTATAAAAAAGGGGGGCTACTAGGGTTTTAAGAACTTCATGGGGAGGTCCCTGGGGAAAAGAAAATGGCAGGAAAGCCAGTAAATAAATGATGGAATATTTAGAAAAAATGAAGGGGGGCGTGGAAAGGTTCATTCCCAAAGGGAACAGTAACAAAAAAGACCCGAACAAGCCCCCCGGTTTACCCGCGGGGTAAGGAGGCAAAAACAAAGTGCAAAAGAAATGGAAAAAGTACAGAAGGCAGGAAACACGAAAATAGGGAGTCATCCAAGCAGGAATGGGCCCCCAAAGGGAAGGGGGAGGGCCCGCGACAGTATGAAAATGACAAAACACGAGAATCAAGACTGACCGAAACTTTGTTAGCCACTAGGAGGAAGACAACAGTAAAACCGGTGATCAGATTTTGGAAGAAGGTGGGGGAACTCACAAGAAAAGATCGGAGTATGTGAGGAGCTGAACAGGGGGATTTAAGGAAGTTTTTACAGTAAGACAGGAAGGCTGGGGAAGACGCACAAAGGGAACATCGGGGAAAATACCAACAAGTGTTTTGGTGACATACGAACAAATGAGGGGAGGTGAAGAACTCTTTAAATGACCTTGACACCTCAAAAACGATGGGGCCGGGCAACATCTCCCCTGGGTCCTTTGAGAAGGAGCAGAGATGCTGTGTGTGCCTTAACCACAATCTTCAAACCCTCCCCCTTTAAACTGGGGAACTCCTGAAAATGGAAGAAGCTAATGTAGTCCCCATATTTAAAAAAGGAAACAAAACGAGGACTAAACTACAGCTGTGTCTCTGACTGTATTGTGTGCAAAGTCTGGAGAAGATTATCGGAGGGGAGTGGTCGAAAACCCGGAAGGAAAAGATTATAAATAAAACCAGATGGGGTTCATGGGGGCAAATCTTTTATCACAAACCTCCCGGAGTTTTATGACAAGGTAACAGAATAAACCGAGGGAGGGTTGGGGAATTGCTTTTCCAGACTGCAAAGGGTTTGACACGTTCCCCACAAAATTGTGCAGAAGGGAGGATCAGGCACAATAAAAGGAAGGGCACGCAATGGTAAAGGGAAAACCTGACAGGGAGGCAGCAACGATCTGGTACGTGAAAGGTTAACAGTGGGGCCCTTTTCGAGCGGGGTCCCCCGGGGGTCAGTTCTAGGGCATGTATTTTTTATATATGTGAACGACATGATGGAAGGAATAGACTTGAAGTTCCCTGTTCGCGATGACGTGAAGTTGATGAGAAGAATTAAAACGGACGAGGATGAGGCAGGACTCAAAGGACCTGGAAGGCTGGAAATGTGGTCCAGTAACTGGCTCCCCCGAATTAATCAGCCAAATGCAAAGTTGAAGATTGGGGAGGGGGGAAAGAAGAGCAGACAGAATATAGGCTGGGACAAGACAACAACCTCCTCAGGGGGGGAAAGCCTTGGGGGGACCATAACACCCGGGACTCCCGGGGGCAACCCCAACCAAATAACCGCTGCAGCATAAGGGCGCCCGGGAAACCCCAGAATGCGTTCCGATACCTCAATAGGAATCGTTCCAAAAACACTGTACACTGTGTATGTTAGGCCCATATGGATATGAGCCCCTCTGGAAACCCCCACCCGGCAAGCCGTCAAGAAGTTAGAGAAAGTACAAAGGTTTGAACGGTAGTCCAGAGAGGGAAGTCGTCAGGAAAGGTTAAGGGGGAAACGGACTGACGACACGGAGGGGCAGAAGGGTCGGGGGGACTGATAACGACATAAAGATACTGCGGGGGGAAAAAACAAGGTGGAAAAAAGATAGGAGTTTCCCGAGGGGGGACAAGGGAAAGGGGCAAACTGGAAGCGAAGACATTTCCAACCAAACCCAAAAAAAACACACCACCAAACAAACAAAAACACAAAAACCCAAAACCCCCCAAAAAAAACCAAAAAAACAAAAACCCAAAACAACAAAACCACAAAACCCAAAAACCAAAAAAACAAAAACCCCAAAAAAAACCATAAACCCAAAAAAAAAAAAATAACAATAAAACCAAAACCACACAAAAAAACACACCCCAACCCCCCTTTTTTT